ATCCACTCACCTCAGCCTCCCAAGGCACGGGATTACAGGCTGAGCCACCGAGCCTGGTTTCTCCAAACCCTTTCTAATGAACAGAAGTAGTTTCTGAAGGCTTTACCCAGAGGTTTCAGTTGCAGCTCCTCTGCTCCTGGTGGACCTGAAGGTGTGCTGCCAGGACCTACGTGGTTATTGGATTCCCAGCTCTGAGTCCCTAGTCCCTGGGGCCTGATAATCTGGAACCAATACCACATGGGTCATTGTGGTATCTGTTTACAATGTCTACACTGGCTTGCATTTTACTTTTCGTTTTGCTAGAGATTTTACTTTTTTTTTAAGGCTCAGGTATAAATTTACATTTTTATTATAGTTTATCTAGTGTTGGTATGTTTGTAGTGGGGAGATGTGCTACTTAAATCATCTTAGTGTGCTTTGCTTCCAGAAGAAACCATATTTCATATGCATAATCTGGTGCCTTATTTATAATTAAGCATTTTCCTTATGATTTCCATTCTCACAGACACCCATTTCTTTAAGTTCCAGAGAAATTAAGTCCCCCTCAGGACCATCTAGATTACAGGCACACATGAGGCCAGGCCTCTGTAGCATATTGGATTATTTTCCAGATACATCACCCATGTGGTTTAAGTACATCGTTCCTTTGGGGTCTAAAATTTCTTAGCATAGTGATTTTTGACTTCTAAAAATTTTAGTAGCAGAACCCTTTCAGTAAATGTTACGTGGAACCCCCAAATATAAAACAAATAAGAGGGGAGCTGCTTTGATTGAAGTAGGCTTGAGAGCTCTGATCCTCACTAACATACCATTCCCCTTGCTGTGAGTACTGGGCTACATACCCTGAGGGTCTGAGCCTTCACTTCTGGGCATGAAATATACATTTGTAGCAAATGCAGGTTTCTGGCACCAAGTCTACTGAATTATGACAGTATGAGTTGCATGGGGTCACTCTGTTTCTTGACTGGAAAAGGGCTTTTGCTTGATGGGATCCCTGATCGGGATTCCCTGTGAATGGCAAAGAAGTGAGGCAGTTACCTATGTGACCTGTAGGCCAGAGTCAGTTTCAGCATCTGGCTATTCCAGGAAATGGTGGGGGGTTCTGAATTTCTAACCAACTTATTCCATGGGAAGAATGTGTAATGGCTGACAGGCCTGTACCTCATTGCTTGGTACATGGTTCTGAGCTCTGTGGGTGGCTAATGTCCCCAGTTGTGAGCACCCATCTTTTCCCTGTGCCCTTCTGGGCCTAGAAAATAAATGAACCAAGTCTCCCCAGCCTTACCAGCTTGTGGGTGTAAATGGAGTAATTTCACCGGCTCTAGCCCCCATTTGCTCACAGAGAAACCCCAACTCACGTTAAATAATCCATTTGTATCTGCAAGTTCCCAGTAGGCCACAAACCAATCTGTTTTCACCATCTCCTGTGTTCTTCCTTACTTATTATGGGCCCCATCTTTGTGTACTCTGCCCATGAAGCTGCTTAAGAAGTTGTTGCCCCTCCCCTCCACCCCTACCACTGCTGCAGCTGTGCCCACCACGGGATTGTTGGTGAAAGTACCAAGGGTGCTACCTCCTGGTCCTCCTTAAGGCCCCAACCATGTAGGTGCCTAGTCATGTGCTAGACATGCTCAAACGTGCCTGGATCTGTTTTAGTTCAAGGTTAACACATACCTGCTGAATACATGGTGTCCTGGATCCCGCGGTGGTATGATCTGAAAACAGACCCTGGCTGCTGTTACATTTCAAAGCTCAATTTGGGGATTAGTGAAGGGTAGGGGCATAGGACTGGGTTTGAATCGCTCCCCTGTTGCTGAGGGTCAATGGTGTTTTCCAGATAGAGAAGGTGTGAGGTTCAGTCAGGAAATGGCAAACACAGCTGCTCCCTCTGGTGGTCTGTGCCTTCCACCAGTGGAGACAGGGAGGTTAGCTCCAGCAGTCTTGCGCCATTCGTAGCTCAGTGAGTTCCTCTTAGAACTAGTCCTGAGTACCGGGTATTTAAAAAACATTTTTCTGTATCAGACAAATGAAGAATGTTCTGTTAAAAAATGTGAATGCCACACAACATAAAGGTTGTAGAAATGTTCCAGATTAAAGGAGGCTAAATAGGGATGACAACTAAATGCAATACCTCACCCAGACAGATCCTGTAAGAGAGAGGGAAAGGGCTATAAAGGACATTACTGGGTCAACAGACAAAATTGGTGTATGAATGATAGATTGAAGTATATCAATGTTACATTTTCTAAAACTAGACTGTGGTGATGTAGGCAATATGCCTATTCTTAGGAAATGCACATTGCAGTATTTAGGCATAAAGGGCCATGATATATGTGATTTATCCTCATATGGTTCAAAAATGCAGATACCGTAAAGCAAATGAGGTAAACTGTTCACAATAGGTAAATCTAAGTAAAGGGTATATGAATGTACTTTATACTATTTTTACTTTTGTAAGTTCTGTAAGTTTGAAACTACTTTCAAATAAAAATCTTTTTTAAATGTAAAGGCCAGTTTCTGTGCAAACAGTCAGGATCTGGCAGCACAGGCCTGCCTGAACTCTTCCCGTGGCAGAGAATGAGGAACAAGGACATGGCTGTGTCCCAGGCAGGCTACCAGAAATACCCCAAAAGGTAGTCAGACACCTTGCATGAAGTTCCCAAGTGCCATCCGAGGCCACCCATCTCTTGATCTCCCCCATTCTACAAGACATCAAAAATAACTTTTTACATTTTCTCCTGAGGATTATAATAAGCCCTGGGTGTTAATGAAATCTTGGTTATGAAAAGATGTATTGGTTTATTCATCCATCCATCCATTCATTCAGCAAATGTTCTGAATACCTACTTACCATGTGACAGGAAGTGTATTAAGGGACTGAGGATGCAGCCCAGGGTACAAGACACAACCCTGTCCTAAATAAGCTATGAGCTATTAGGGATGCACTCACAACCACATGCATAAATATATATTTCCAAATGAGCTGAGCATGAAGTAGACATTGGAAGCATGGGGAGCCCAGCCTTTCATCGGAGCCAGTGGAACCAAGTCCCCCAGATCTGATAATGCATTCAATTTCCCCCCAGGATTTTCGAGGTAATAATTACTTCTGTACCTGATGCTGAGGCGAGGGGGACTCATAGTGCTTACCCCATCCCGGGCTCATCCCATCTGTTTCGGCTTAGCTCTCTGCAGGCTGCTCTGCCCTCTGTCAGGATCAGGGAAGAGGCCAACAAGCCACTCTATCAATATCCCTGGGCTGATGAACCAGTGAGCTTTGGAAAAGTCTTTCTACTGATCTATGCCTGTGGGTAAACATAGCAGGTAAATCCATAATGCTTTTAGAAGGGCAAGACCACCAAATACTCTCATGTGCAAGTCTGGCAGCCTACTGGCCATGAAAGTCCCATCATTGGGCTGCTGAGTCATGAAAACAACCTGATTGTCTTCTAAAAGGACAGAATAATGTGGTTCCCCCAGTCCCAGGTGTGACACCAACTGTTATGCTCTGTACACAAGGGACAATAATGACGTCCATCATCTCTAGGCTCCAAGTAGACAGTATTGAGGAGGGGGTTAAGAGTGTGAGTGTGACTTTGTGTGTGTGTGTGTGTGTGTGTGTGTGTGTGTGTGTGTGTGTGTGTGAGACTGCATGCGACACGATGTGTGTCCCGTCTGTCCAGGGGTCTCAGGTGGGACTGACCCCCACCTTTGATGTGTTCTGGGCCTAATCCAAAGAAGTTTCAGGTTTGGATTCAACAAATGTTTACTGAGTCCCTACAAAGTTCCAAGCCTTTTACTTTATACTTTGACACATTTTTATATCATTTAATCTTTAACAATAACCCTTTAAGGTAGGAATTATCTGCATTTTACAGATGATAAGACAATCGCAAAGAGGTTCACTGATTTGCTCAAGTATATCATACAGCTTTTTTTTTTAAACACTCACACACTACACTGTCAGATGAGGCCTGTCTGTGTTGGTTGCTTATCTTACAGCATTTATTGTCTTCTCTACTCTTGGAGCAACAGCTCCCCTTATACAAGCCCCCTTATTCCTTCTCCTTTCGCTAGCCCACGTGGGCTTTTCTTTTTTTAATACTGCATTTAATAGCACAAAAAATCACAAATACAAAGAAACTGGCAAAGGTGTTTGTCAATGAGATATCCCTGTCTCCTCCGCTTTTCTGCTTTCATACCCATATATGTAATGGGCTACATTTTTATAAACTTTTCTTGTTTCCCCCCCAAACGTATAACTGTTATGTGATTGGTCAATTGAAGCTGAAACACCCATGGAGAAAGATGTTTTACGGTTACAAGGGCACACACCCCCCCACACCACCCCCCTCCCCCCCACACCTTCCCACACAACCTTTTGGAGGAATATAGGATATGTACCAGTGTCAGGATTTTCCTGCTTCTGCCTTCCTCACCCAGAGCATTCCTGCCATTTAATTTTCCTTTAAGTGACTGCTTAGACTAGAGCCTCTTCTCCCTCCCCTTCTATTTCTCTTCCAATCAGGACCTTTTGGACACTGGGTACTGTTCAATTCTTACTCTGTCAGGCCCATGGGCCATGGTCAAGTAGGTCCTTTAAATCTTGATGCCAGTTGTAGTATTGGTGTCGTCATCTTCCATTACAGGTAGGTCTGTGTGTCACTTCAGTAGGCTTGAGTATTCATTTCTTTCACTTTTTCTGACTCGTGTTCTGGGACCTGTTTGTGATAGAACAGCAAATATCCCTCACTGTCCAGTACATCCTTAATACTGGCCTTGGTGATGACGGCATCGTCACATTTGAACCACTGGTCCTTGTGGTGCCGGATGAAGCTGGTATAGTGGCCACTCTCCAAGGTTCCTTGGTGATTAACTACAGCAAACAAGGAATACTTATTCTCATTGTTTCCACTATTAGTTGGCAGCTGCAACTGTCCATTCATTCTGCTCTCTTTACTTGAGGCCATAAACGGTGTCATATCCAGCTCCAGAGGAAAGGAAATATATGTAGTGATCTTGCGCCTCTGTTTGGCTGAGTGTTCAAACCGTTTGAAATGAAAACAGGCAACAACAGGTAATTTATTCATCGTGAGCTGTTTGGTAGATTCCTGGTAGCTTTGGCAACTACCACATTTGATTTTGGCACTGCTTCCTAGGTGCTCTGGCCTCGTAAACCTGCGCAAGCAGTCCGTGAGGGTGGTGATTCCTGGTATGTGGCTTTCCCCGTTCACACCGCTCTCTCTCCCTGGGCTCATGGGCCAGAAAGAGGTGCAAGAGCCAGGCAAGTCCAAACTAATGTCCCAGCATGGGTCTATCGTGGTGGAGACACCATGGCAGGCTTGGCAGGTGACATCAGACTGCAGGCCACCTGTGAAGATTTGGTCTATGATGCAGTTACAGTGGTTGGGATTGTTGGCCGCCTTCCCGACATCATCACCTTTGCAGTGCCTGTGCAGGACATCTAACGCTGCAATGAGGAACTCGTGGGCATCTTGTTGCCTGTACCCTGCTAAATGGCGAGCATGTATCCACACCAGGTGCAGTAACTTATAGGGAACATGAGGAGACGGGTTTCCAGAATACAGCTCCCGAAAGAGTGACGACATCTCACAGACCAGACACAACTCAGGACTCGGCATTTCACACCGGTGTCTGTCAGAGAGGAAGAAATCTCTCAGGATTGGAGTGTGGGTAAGGGCCTGGACGATGCAGTTCATAAAGCACGTGTTGCCAAGATTGATTAGTCCTCTTAAACCGATGGTAAAGCTGGAGGCGATTCTCCTTCTCCGTGGGTTGTGCCCCAGCAGTTCCAATTCCGGTTTGGTTGTTTCCCAGGTTGGGTACCTCTCACCAAGGCCTGGCACTGAACACTGCTGGGGAGAGACCTCTGATGAGGTGGAGGCTTGTAATTTCAAAGCTTCTCCTTGCTCTTCTTTGGCAATTTGCTCAATGTCTTTGTCATATACATAGTCCTTACACATAAAGCAGTATATACCTCCATAGTAAAGGTCTACAGCTAAGTTGTGTTGTTTTGTCTCAGCGTGCTCATGAATGTGTTTCTCCGTGAAGCAGCCAAAGAAGACACAGGAAAGGCAAGAGTGGAGTCTGTTCAAATGGGTGCCACACACATGGCAGATGCACGACTTTGCCTTGCTTTTCCTGGTCTCAGGGGTTCCACACCACACGAAGCACTGGTAGATGACCCGCAGTTCCTGCCTCCAGTTCTCTCCCACCTTAAAGCTATTCACGTGGGAACAACCTGGTGGCCCCACAGCAAAATCCACATCTAGGCATCCACCCCCTGGGCCGCGCCGGGGCCGGGGCCGGGGCGGGGGCCGTGGCCTAGGCTGCGGCGGGGTACGGAGGCGGGTCTGGGGCCGGGGCCGGGGTCGGCGGCGCGGGGCACGACTGCGACGCGGAGAGGGATTGGGGGGCCGCGGCGGGTCGGAGGGAAGGGTTGGGGGAGGAACCTCGTCGCTGTTGCCGCCACCGGCGCTCCGCGCTGGGTTCTCATCCTCCAGCTCCTGCTTCGGCTCCTGCTCCGCCTCCCGAGCCGGCTCGGG